TTAGAAAATGATTTTACCAGAGGGAAGGTGGACACAACCTTATTCTGTAAACTGTTTAACAATGACATTCTGGTTTATCAAATTTAAGTAGATGATATAATTTTTGCATATACTAAAGCCTCTTTGGGAAAAGAATTTGCTAAGTCTATACAAGCAGAGTTTGAAATGAGCTTGATGGGTGAACTCAAGTTCTTTCTGGGTATCCAAATCAATCAAACTCCAGAAGGAACCTATATTCATCAAAGCAAGTATGTCAAATAACTTCTGAAAAAATTTGATTTGTCAGAATGTAAGCCATCCAAAACTCATATGCATCCTACATGCATTCTGGAAAGAGAAGAGGTAAGTAAGAAAGTAGAACAGAAGCTCTACAGAGGTATGATTGGTTCTCTCTTATATTTAACAGCTTCAAGACCTGATATTATGTATAACGTTTGTCTTTGTGCTAGATTCCAATCAGATTCTAGAGAATCTCACTTAACAGTAGTTAAATGAATTCTCAAGCATATGAAAGGTACTACTAATCTTGGTCTTTGCTATAGAAAATCCATAGAATATAAATTAGTAGGATACTGTGACGCTGACTTTTCCGGAGACAAAATAGAAAGAAAAAGTACTTCTGGAAGCTGCCAGTTTTTGGGAGACAATCTAATCTCATGGTCCAGCAAAAGACAATCCACTATTGCACTGTCAACTGCTGAAGCTGAATATATACCTGCAGCTGGATGCAACACACAAATGCTCTGGATGAAGAGTCAGCTTGAAGACTTTAACATATATCAGAGTAACATTCTTATCCTCTGTGATAATACTTCTGGTATTTGTATTTCAAAAAATCATATTTTACATTCTAGGGCTAAACATTTAGAAATTAAACATCATTTTATTAGAGACTATATTTAGAATGAAATTTTTTCTTTAAAATTTATAGACACGAACCATCAATAGGCCGATGTCTTCACTAAACCCCTTTCTGAATATAGGTTGAATTTCATTCTAAAACATCTCAGTATGGAATTATGCCCAGAATGATAATGTAGTTTATGTATATTTATACCCTCGGAACTTTATGATTTAATTTTTTTTGTGTGAACATATGAATAATAGTTCTTCAGAAGTAAGAAGGAAAGTTGTATCAGGATCTATCCAGAAGATCTGAACGTTCTCCAAAAACGTTTTATTTCTAAGATAGAAGCAAACAGTTCACAATATCAACATCTGTCAACTCTAAACGCAAGGTCACCCTCTAAGGCTGAACACGTGTTCAAAATATGAAGGGACTGAAACGGTTGAGTTGATGTACTGATGCTCGATTCAAATCGGTAACTGTTCCATATCTTCATGCTATCCCTCTTTTCAGGAATCATTAAATGTACGTAATCATTTTTTTAATCCTTTTCATTAAAATTAAAACTGTTTTTTTTTTTGCTATTTATACTTCATTCTTTCACAAACACTATCACATATTCACTCTCACTCACTTTTCTCTCTTCATCTGTTTTTAAAAAAATCCTAAAAGAGTCTCTCTGAACAAATGGCTTCCTCTCAACAAAATTCTCAAGTTTCTCAAACTATTTCTGGTTCTTCCTCCTCAAATGAAGAAAGAAAATGATGTGTTTAAGGAAAGGTTAGACAAGCAGGATAAAACTAGTAAGGAAATTAAGGGGATATTTGGGGAATAAGATAAATCGAACAATCAGATCAAGAGCTTATTGGAAGCCTTGTTCACACAACTTCCACCTCCTCAACCTTAGTTCTGATAAAATGTTTTGTTTCTGCTATTTGTTTCTCATTTCTATCTTCTGTTTATCTACCATCTTCTGTCTATCTTAATCCTCTTTGAATACAAAATGCATTCTATTATTTTTACATATTTTTATTGCTTTTTGATTCTTGACAAAAAGGGGGAGAACGTAAGATATTTTGAATATGACAGTATCGAGACTCAGTCTCAAACATTTTGAATATTATAACTTCTATTTTTATCCTCTGAAAGTAAACAGGAAAAATCTATTGAAAAGCAACCTCTGAAAGTAACTTCTGTCGTGGACGCATCAAAAACCTCCATCACAAACTATGATTAGAATATCTTCAGGGAAGTAATTTTTTCTTTATCTGAGTATTCAACTCAGGGGGACTTTAATTCTTTATGTTCTTAAGTAATCTATCAAAATATACAAGTTTTTGTCATCATCAAAAAGGGGGAGATTGTTAGAATATAGTTTGGCTCTACATTCTTATAAGAGTTTTGATGATAACAAACACATGATATATATATATATATATATATATATATATATATATATATATATATATATATATATATATATATATATATATATATATATATATATATATATATATATATATATATATATATATATATATATATAGAACAAATATGCTCTATAATAATGCATTTTAATATGCAGGGAAATTCTGATGTAAGAAGCATAGAATATGAGAGAGTTATGTTTTTGAAGCTCTGTTGTGACTCATCATACTTAGAAGCAAATATGTGTAACACGCTTAAATGAAGAAGTTCTAATGTTACAACTTTTGAATGCACCAACGCTGCGAGCAAAACTCTGATATTCTAATAAGTAAAATTATGAAAAAATAAAAGAAGTCTCAACGGTAATATTCATCTTCTAATATGATCCCAAAAAAGCATGTTCTGAAGCGTTACAATTTATTCATTACAAATTAAAAGTAACGGCTGAATCAAGACAAGATTTGTATTTTTGGAAAGCGCATTTACTACACTTTATCAACCTTCCAAAAACATCTTCTCATGCCTCTCATGCATTGCTTATATAAAGAAGACTCGAAGAAGAAATCACACACAACTCTAATGCATACTGAAAAAGAAAAATCTTATTACCTTTCTATCTTGTGCTTTTTAATTGTGTATACATCATTGTTGTGATATAGTTTTGTTTAGAAAACATCTTTGTGCACAGTGTAGCACAGTGTAAATTGTTTTATCTTGTAATACCTTGAGAAAACTGAGTTGTGGTTTAAACTCAAGAAGACATTGATAGTAGTCACTGTATCTGTGTAATCAAGTTTGATTAATGGATTAAGACCTCATTTGAGAGAGGCGAAATCACTTTGGCGGATGGACTGAAGTAGTTTGAATTCAAACGAATCAGGATAACCAACATGTCTATTATTTTAATTTTTTAAAATCCAATTCAAACTCCTCCTTCTTGTGTTTTTTTTCATTCTTCAGACACTCTATCATATGCCTCGTCCAAATCAAAGAAAACTAAGTGAAAGTATTTTTAGTCCATCCGATAACGCCCCATCACATGTTATAGTAAGTAGAAGGCTTCCATGATTGACCTATTATATATAAAACTAAATTAATTATCAATAATTTGAGTCTCTTTTTACCGTCTTCGTTAAATCATTTTTCTCTTAACTTCATGTTATGACTTATAAATTTAACCCTTATAACTTACACAAATTTATATATCTCGCATGATCATATAAATCATAATTTGTCTAACTTTAATAATAAAAAAAAAACTATCTTAAATCATGTCCTTCCACTCGTTCACGTGACACTAAAATATTTAGTGCCAAAAAGATAGATTTATGTTTTGAATGTTTAAAATTTAGAATTTTAGACTTTTTTAAATCTGAATAATTCCTAACATAAATACATTTGTTATATATTTTTAAAATAGAAAAAAACTTGACCAAGTTTTTCTTCAGAAAGTAGTCACTTTGTTTTATATTTTACTAAAAAAAAACTATAATTGAAATTGAGTACTTTAATTGATATAGTTTAAGGATATTTTGATTAATTTTAATAATAGAACCCAATTATATAAAATTTCCCTAAAAAAAATCATAAATTTGTCGTCTCAAAATAAAATTTCAAATATTGAACACTCAAACTAATAATAAAGGAGTTTTTTGCAAAGAACGACACGAAAAATATTAAATTTGATCTCCGATGAAAAGAGTATTTAATTAATATTTATTCTTCACTCTAGATTAATAAAGTTCTCTATTCTCTTAAAAATCAGAGTGTGAAAGAAAAAAAAAGTAAAATTTTAAATAAATTATATCCTCTAAAAAAGTTTTTCTAAAAATATTTTTAGTTAAATTTCATTTATTTTGTGAAAAAATTATATATATATATATATATATATATATATATATATATATATATAATATATATATATATATATATATATATATATATATATATATATATATATATATATATATATATATATATATATATATATATATATATATATATATATATATATATATAATTTTATTTTGTGTTTATTTTAACTTGTTAGTAAGACAACATGAGACAATAAAAATATGAAATCAAGATTGAGAGAAGATAAATATTAAATAAATATGATTTATTTCTAAAAATAAAATAATTTTTTTACATTTTCATTATTTCTAGAAAATACAAGAATAACACAAATTTTAAGAAATAAAAATAATAATTTTATAAAGTAAATTAGAATCCCACCCTCTCTCATTTGAAATTGGATTTATGTAGTCAACTTATTCATGCATTCCAATAATTAATGACTATCAGATCAAAAATTTGCTGATTTAAAAAATATATAAATTTTAATTTTATCATAATTTAAAATTCACAATTTAAATCAGAATTATTTAATTTTGATCAAAGGGTCACTAATACTTAAGTGCTTAAATAGCATGTTGGTAAACTGCATCCCTCTCATTCATCAAGTATTTCTTTCCAACGATAAAAACGAAAGCAAAGTGTTTACTTTCCTTCTACTCAAAATTTGTATGAAAATGGAAGCAAAAGCTACACCTATTCCACTCTGAAAATCTATTCCTCCTAACAAGTTCAAATCTCACTTTCCATCCTTTTCACATTAAAATCACACACACATACTCTCTAGAACTCTCTTTTAAATCACATAAATATATATAACTTGCAAAAGCTACACAAATAACAAGATTCATTCAACAAAGAAGAACAAAAAATGAATTCCAAATGGATATTTTTCCTACTAACCATTTCAACAATGTTAGTAATAGGAAAAACACAATCAATATCATCAGAGGAACCTTTGGTGAAAATAGTAAAGGGAAAGAAACTATGTGACAAAGGGTGGGAATGTAAAGGTTGGTCTGTGTATTGTTGCAATGAGACTATCTCTGATTATCTTCAAACGTATCAGTTTGAGAATTTGTTCTCAAAGAGGAATGATCCAACGGCGCATGCGGTTGGATTTTGGGATTATCGTTCTTTTATTACTGCTGCTGCACTTTATCAGCCTCTTGGATTTGGTACTTCTGGTGGAAAACATGGTGGACAGAAAGAAGTTGCTGCTTTTCTTGGTCATGTTGGAAGCAAGACCTCTTGTAAGTCATTATTCAATTCTTGTTTGTTTATGGTTCGTCTTTCAGGACGTCTAAGATGGACTATGGTATAAGGTTTAAAGTTTGTTGGGTTAAACCATCGTTAGATATGACCTCATAAAATATTGACAGTGTTAAATCGTAGTTAAATAAACTTTTTATTTTCTTTGACTTAGTTAAACTTAAACATAGTCTCCAAAACTTGAAAGGACTCTGATTTGACATTAATTTGTATAACATGATGAAATGTATGATAATATTTTCTCGAAATATATATTTTTCAGGTGGTTATGGTGTAGCTACAGGAGGGCCCTTAGCATGGGGCTTATGCTATAATAAGGAGTTGAGTCCTGATCAATTTTATTGTGATGACTACTACAAATTAACCTATCCATGTAGTCCTGGCGCAGCATACTATGGCCGCGGTGCCATACCAATTTACTGGTAAATAGTTTTTCTAGCACCGACACCTCTGATCAAAACATATTTAGTATTTGATATATGTCTGTCAGACACCTCTGATCAAAACATATTTAGTATTTGATATATGTCTGTCAGACACTGATGCATGTGATTACATTCAATTGAGTGTGTTTGTATCTATGTTTGTGTTAGTGTTGTTTGCTAGATAAAGACTTAATTATGTTGTTTAAGCATGATCCAACTAATAATCGTAGAAACATGATACCTGTGTTATCTTTCATGATAGGAATTACAACTATGGGAAATTGGAGAAGCCTTAAAGGTGGATCTATTAAACCATCCAGAATACATAGAACAAAATGCAACATTGGCATTCCAAGCAGCACTATGGAAATGGATGACACCACCTGAGAAGCACATACCTTCAGCCCACGATGTTTTTGTTGGAAATTGGAAGCCAACAAATAATGACACTTTGTCCAAAAGGGTACCTGGATTTGGTGCCACAATCAATGTTTTATATGGTGATCAAGTTTGTGGCCAAGGTACTGATAATGATGGAATGAATAACATAATTTCTCATTATCTTTATTACCTTGATTTATTGGGAGTTGGTAGAGAAGAGGCAGGGCCTAATGAAATTCTCTCTTGTGCTGAACAAGCTGCTTTTAAACCCTCTGGACCACCTTCTTCTTCAACAACTTGAAGAGATTCTTTACTTGTTTGGTTGGTTGTTCTTGAATCATGCAAAATCTAATGTGTATAGATTACTATGATGCTATGTATTTTGGTTTCTATGATCACTATATGATTTTAATATATTTTTGGAACAATGTATGTATGAATTGAGTATTTGATCAATAAAAATTGTCTCAACAATTTTGTTGATATTTGTGTGATTTGTATTTCACTAATTAAAATGACTTAAATTGGATTCAAATTATCTAATTGCAATTATGTTTGTCTATCGCATCTAAATCAAATGAATTTTTTACTTTCACAAATCACACTAGTAAAGATCTTGAACCCTTTGATAATTGGTTAGAATTTAATATTGTTAGTTGGTTAATTCTTGTTAGTTGTTATTTAGGCTTTAGTTTGTATTTGGGTTTGGGCTTGTTGCCTATATAAAGGGTCATTACTTTGTAATCCACATATACTGCAACATCAAAATAACAGTTTCAGTTTTAAAGAGTTAGTTACACTAACTAACTCAACAATCTCTCTCTCTCTCTCTCTCTCTCTCTCTCTCTCTCTCTCTCTCTCTCTCTCTCTCTCTCTCTCTCTCTCTCTCTCTCTCTCTCTCTCTCTCTCTCTCTCTCTCTCTCTCTCTCTCTCTCTCTCTCTCTCTCTCTCCTTCTTCTTCTTCTTCTTCTTCTTCTTCTCTTCTTCTTCTTCTTCTTCTTGTTGTTGTTTTTCACTATATTCATCTTTCTTGAATCCTTTGTTCCAACAAATTGGTATCAGAGCTTATTTGCGATTCAGAGAGAATCTAATGGCAAACAGATCAACAACCTCAACACAATTTCCAGCAAATCTCCCAGTTTTCAAAGGTGAAAACTATCAAAGATGGGTGACACAAATGAAGGTTATTTTCAGATTTCAAGATGTTGTAGAAATCGTGAATGATGAAATTTCACAACTGGAGGAAGATGCTACAGAAGCCCAGAAAGCTGCGCACAAAGATCAGAAGAAGAAAGATGGCAAGACGTTGTTCTTGATTCACCAGTGTGTGGATTGTGATGTGTTTGAGAAGATAATCGAAGAAGAAACAACAAAAGAAGCTTGAGAAAAGCTGAAGTCTTTATATGGTGGACATGAGAAACTGAAGAAGGTAAAGTTGCAGACTCTGAGAAAGCAGTATGAGATGCTGCAGATGAAAGAGGATGAATCTATTTCAGCATATTTCTCAAGAGTGATGATGCTAACAAACCAGATGAAGGCGTGTGGTAAAGCATTAACCGGTCTGCAGAAGATAGAAAAGGTATTAAGATCTCTAATTGCAGATTTTGATTACTTTGTTGTAACAATCGAAGAGGCCAAGAATCTATCTGAGATGAAGTTGGAAGAACTTCAAGCTTCTTTGGAGACTCATGAAATGAGGCTGCAACAAAGAAACTCAGAAAGGGAGAAGACAGCTGAACAAGCATTGCAATCAAGATTCAACAAGAAAGCTGGAAAAGAGAAATCGAAGCAGCATAAGAATCTTGATGGTGATGAGAAGTCAAGCAAGAATACTGATTTGAAAGGAGTGTGCAACAAGTATTCTGGGAAGAAAGAAAGTTGACACGAAAGGTGTGGAGTGTTACAATTGTCAAGGTTTTGGCCATTATGCTAGAGATTGTCGAAGCAAGAAAGCTGCAAGATCGAAAGATAGTGATGAAGCTCAATATGCAAGAGCTGGGAGTAGTGATTCTGATGATGTGTTGTTGCTGGTGAACACTCAATCGAACACTGAGAAAAAGATAGTGATGAAGCTCAATATGCAAGAGCTGGAAGTAGTGATTCTGATGATGTGTTGTTGCTGGTGAACACTCAATCGAACACTGAGAAAAACAACATGTGGTATCTAAATTTGGGATGTAGCAACCACATGACTGGCAATAAAAACTGGTTCACCAAGTTAGATGAGTCAGTCAAAAAGATGATAAAGTTTACAGATGGTAGGCATATCAAATCAGGTGGTAGAGGAGATATTTCGATTATCAGGAAGGATGGTCGAAAGGCTACTATCATTGAAGTTCTGTATGTACCTTCGATGACAAGTAACTTGATAAGTGTAGGTCAATTACTTGCAAAAGGCTTCAATATGAAGTTAGAGAATAATCAGATGAAGGTATATAGGGATGATGAGAGGCTAATCATGAAAGCACCATTAGTGGAGAACAAAACCTTCAAAGTCGAACTCAACACATCAGATGATAAATGTCTTGCTTCAAATGTAGAAGAAGACAAGAACTAGCTATGGCATCACAAGTATGGACATCTAAACTTCAAAAGTTTATGTATGCTCAATCAGAAGAAAATGGTGCTTGGGTTTCCGTATGTGAAGGAACCAAAGAAGATATGTGAAGAATGCTGCAAAGCTAAGCAGGCAAGGAAGGCATTCAAATGTGATTTACCTATAAGGCCAAGGTAAAAACTGGAACTGGTTCATTAAGATGTGTGTGGATCTTTCGAAGTAAAATCCAATGGAGGTAACATGTATTTCCTTACTTTAATTGATGAATTCACCAGACATATATGGATTTACCTCATTGAAAGGAAGAGTGAGGTATTCACACAGTTCAAGAAGTTCAAGTTGCATGCTGAGAAATAAAGTGGCTGCAAATTGAAAAAGTTAATAACTGATGGTGGTGGTGAATATACTTCAGCAGAATTTGCCAGATTTTGCAATGAGGAAGGTATAGAGCATGATATTGTTGCACCCTATACGTCTCAGCATAATGGCATTGCTGAAAGAAAGAATATAAGTGTATTGAACATGACCAGATGTATGTCAAAAGCTAAGAATATGCCTAAGAGTTTTTGGGCTGAAGTAGCTTCGACAGCAGTATACATTCTAAACAGATGCCTAACGAAGAAGATGGTCGAAAAGACACCACATGAGGCTTGAACAGGGTCGAAGCTAAATGTAAGTCATCTTAGAATTTTTGGATCAATGTGTTTCAAGCATGTACCTGAATAATTGAGAAAGAAGCTGGATGATCAAAGTGAAGTCATGGTGCTCATAGGTTATCATTCGACTGGTGCATACAAATTGTATTCACCAATCAAAGATAAACTAGTGATCAGTAGAGATGTTCTTGTAGACAAAAGCAAAGGATGGGATTGGAGTCAAAGTGCAGTTCGACAAGAATCAGACAGAGTCACAATTGTGTTTGAAGAAGATGAAGCTTCGATAAGTCAAAATGAACAAGGTAATACTTCGACTGGTCGAAATGAAGATCCACATGTGCAGAATGAAAGAAGATCCACAAGAACAAGAACTGAGTCAACTAGGTTGACTGGATATGAGAGGTTTCTAGATCAAGTAGTAGATGCTGATGGTGACTTAATCGAAGAAGCCATGATGATGGCTGAAGTAAAACCAATTGACTTGGGTGAAGCCTTGAACAATTCGAATTGGTGTGAAGCCATGAAAGGATAACTTAGAGCCATTGAGAAGAACAACACTTGGGAACTTGTCGAAAGAAACAACAAGAAACCAATTGATGTGAAATGGATCTACAAGGTGAAACGAAGGCCAGATGGTGAGATTGCAAAGTACAAGGCAAGACTGGTGGCCAGAGTTTTTCTACAACAACTAGGTATTGTCTTTGATGAAGTGTATGCGCCTGTTTCTAGGATCGAAACAATCAGGATTATTGTTTCGATAGTTGCATATAGAGGATGGAAAATGCACCAACTTGGTGTGAAGTTAGCATTCTTAAATGGGCCTCTAGAAGAAGAAGTCTATGTCACTCAACCATCAGGCTTCAACGTCAGAGGGAAGGAGTCGAAGGTTTACAGATTGAGGAAGGCTCTCTATGGCTTGAAGAAAGCTCCCAGAGCTTGGAATAAAAGGATATATAGATTCCTAATCAAAGCAGGGCTCACAAAGTGTGTCTCTGAACATGGAGTGTATGTAAATGATGTCGAAAGTGCCAATCGAATCATTTTATGCCTCTATGTTGATGACTTACTCATTACAGGAGCAAATGAAGCTGAGATAATGAAGGTAAAGTCAAAGTTAATGTAAGAATTCGAAATGTATGATTTAGGGAATCTTTCCTACTTCCTGGGAATGGAATTTAAAGACATCGAAGGAGGAGTTTTCTTGCATCAAACGAAGTATGCTCAAGATATACTGAAGAGGTTCAATATGAACAACTGTAAGGAAGCTGTTATTCCATTAGAGACTGGAGAAAAGCTGAAGAAGGAATCAAATGATGAGTTTGTAAGTTCGACCCTTTACAAACAAATCATTGGATCATTGAGGTATCTTTGCAATACTAGACCAGATATCGGCCAAAGTGTGGGATTGTTAAGCAAATTCATGGAGAAGCCTCGAGAATGTCATCTCATTACAGTAAAGAGGGTGTTGAGATACATCAAGGGAACGGTTGATCATGGTGTGTTGTTTCCAAAAGGATCGAAGAACAGTACAAAGGTCGAAGTGCATGGATACACTGATTCAGATTTTAGTGGAGATCAAGACGAAAAGAAGAGTACTACAGGGTACATCTTAATGATCGAAGGAGCTTTAATCTCCTGGAGTTCGAGGAAGAAAAGCATTGTGTCTTTGTCTTCATTCGAATCATAATATATGGTTGCATCATATGCTGCTTGCCAAGAAGTATGGATCGAAATGCTACTTGAAGAGCTCAGAATAATGGAGTCAAAGATGAAGTTGTTTGTTGATAACAAGTCAGCAATAAATCTTGCGAATCACCCAATGTGTCATGGTAGAAGTAAGAACATTAAACAAAGGTATCATTTTCTGAGAGACCAAGTAAACAAAGGGAAGCTTGAAATAGAACATTGCAAGACAGAAGTGCAACTAGCTGACATATTCACCAAACCTCTGAAGAAAGTGAGATTCGAAGAGTTGAAGCAAGGCATTGGGATGAGAAGTCTTGATAACATTAATTAAGGGGGTGTGTTAGTTGGTTAATTCTTGTTAGTTGCTATTTTGGATTTATTTTGTATTTGGGTCTGGCCTTG